TCTTAGATGTTCTTCTGAAGGCCATCAAAATAAACAGAGGCACCGGTTCCAGGACGCTCCTTGGTACTGTACTGTAAGCGCTCTAGAAAGACCAACGCTCAAACAGACGCACGAACCTCCGTCCAACAAATTCCACAAGCTCCTTTTTCATGAGAGGAGCAGCACAAGACACATTCTCCAGGGCAACACGTTTGTTAATGCCACAACAGAGAGCAGCATCCAGTGGGTAGGTACCGTAATAACACTCCAGACCAGTGACTATGGCAAAGGTCCCCGAACTATTTCTGGAGCACCCTTCCTGTAACAGATAGGACTGTGAGGAAATAAAATAAAATAAAAAAAATCAATAAAATGTCCCCAAAAATTACAAAAATAATGATGCTTAAAAATGATTTTGGCCACATGGTGGCAAGTTTTGGTAGAACACTTGCCTCTACAGCAAGAAGATACAGATTGTGTACAAGTTCGATCCCTGGTTTGTGCCGTTCCCAGTTGATCTTTCTGTATGGAGTTTGCACGTTCTCCCATGTGCCTGCATGTGAGAGTGAACGGTTTTGTCTCTATATGTGACCCATGATGGACTGGCTAACTGTCTGGGACAGTGTTTCCCAAACTTTTTTTACTGGGGACCCATATTTTAAAAGTCACAAACCTTCGCGACCCAAGTCAACAGACATGATTCGTCTCCTCCTGGGATGCAAGACGACCCCCAAAAAATCTCTTGCAACCCACCTGAGGGTCGCAACCCAGTCTTTGGGAAACAATAGTGTAGGATGTCCCCCACCTCGCCTGTAGAAAGCTGGGATTGGCTCCAGTCAGCCCCGTGTCCCTTCCGCCCGACCCAAAGGGGAATAAGTGGTAGATAATGGATGAGTGGATGGTATTTAAATTCATTGGCCCTGCTGTGCACCTTCAGGGGGTCCACAGCCCACCACTTTATCAACCGCCTGACAAGGGCCATTCGGGAGAGGCCTGTCAGAGCGGTGCCCACCCCGAGTGCAACAGTACCCAGTCCCACTGATGATGAACTATTGAGTGGAGAATGAAGTCTTTTGTCACTGCGTGACACCGACAACTCGGAAAACAAACAGAGCAAACACATCCTTCAACCGTGTTTTGTCTGCTGTGTCGTCTGCAAATGGGACCAAGTCATCTGACAATAACGTCGGCCAGTCTCCTGGTTGTTCTCCTGTGTCAGTGTGTGACCACCTCGAGGGCCCCCAGCAGTGCACAAACAAAGACCTCACCAAAATAACTGCAGCTGCCAGCGTTCGTCCCTCTGCGCAACTGAAGGAGAGGCTCCATGAATCTGACACACAGCAGGGCACTGCCACTGAGACACACACACACACACACCATGAAAACCTGCTACAAAGTCAGAAATTCAGTGTGGGTGGCCTGGTCACATCCTGTCCACTGCCCCGAGGCCAGACTGGGCGACCGTATTTTTAACTAAACTCTGGTGGAAAGAGTTTAAACGATCAAACCTTTTCCTACAGCTGCTGATCGAGCTCCATCTGATTTGATCCCAAAACTGAAAGAACATTTTGCAGGAACTGGATATAAGTCCATGTGACATGCCAAGAAAGTGATAACACCAAGAAGGAATTCCCTGATGGGAAGATCACTGGAAGATCACTGGTTGATGGGAGGACATGTAGAGAAATAGCTTCATCATCAGCATAACGAAACATCCATCCATCTGTTCTCATCAGCTTATCTGTTACCAGGTCGCGGGGGCAGCAGTCTCCACGACCGCCACCCAACTCACACTGCACCGTACCAGCCCCTCGTGAACCTTCCTGCATATATTCATGGGGCATAAACATTTTATTTTTCAATAAAATTTTTAGAAGACTAAACGCAGACCAAACTCCACTAATCAACTCATGTTTCAAACTCGTGTTTCACTGCAGATGGGACTGGACGAGTAAATCAGTGGTTGATTTGTCCAGCTGTGTAACAATAAAATATACTTCAGTGGACACTTATTCATGACTTTTATTATACAACACATCATCTCTGTTTATATTCTCATTCAGGCCCTTCTGACCGATGCTTGATAACTTCATATTTATGTTAAATACAAAGCTAGTTTTGAGACTTTTCATGTCATTGAAAACTAAACACTCAAACCTGAAGTTTACTTGAAGACTCAAGTAGAGAATATTTCCCCTGGTCTGTTCAAAATTCATTTTGTAACATTGGTCATTTGGATATGCAGACTGATTAAACACTCTGTCGGGACAGATGCTACGTCTATCATTATGACACACGCACTTTCTCCTCAATTACACTCCGAGTGTTTTGTTACTGGGTAACTTATTCGTTTCTGATTGGCTGGAGGACTTTTGGCCCATTCTTGATGTGAAACACTTTTTCACAGTGGTGGTCTCTGTGTTTATCTGTTCTGTTTGATGTGCCAGACATTTCCAATGAAGACAGGATTAAAGGCATTCCAGTAAGGAACACACACTCTTAGGGTTGTGAGGCCCTTTTTCTCAATTTATGCAGACTGAGGCCTTTGGCTGTTCCAGTCCACATCAATGGCACCTCCACATACGTATAAGCAGTGAATGGACAGTTCATGCCCCGTCACGCATCATGCTGACTTTCGCATTTTGGTTTGATACTAGACTGCATCTTTTGAATCCTGTGAACATGTGTTCTTCTACTGACTCTTTTCAGTTTATTATAAACTCTACATGAAGAGTGGACTTGCATCTAAGTGTCTTCTGCAGGGACATATTGGCTTGCAGTGTCTTTCAACCTTGGGGTCGTGACCCTAAGCGGGGTCGCCTGAAATGTCCATTAATTGATAAAAGAAATTACTAATAAAAATAACTTTTCAGCCAATTATTATTCTTTTAAAAATGATGATTAAAAACACCAAACACAATCTTAAACAACTTGATAAAAAAACCAAATCATCTCTGAGGTCACCAGAAATTTTAGATGTTAAAATGGGGCCACAAGACAAAAAAGTTTGGGAAAAAGTTAGAAGATCTTCAGGCTAAAGGTCAAACATTGTACACAATCTTTTGTGCAACGTCTATCGTCTGTGAATGTATTATTCTGCACATTTGTCACAGCTTTAAGTAGCAATTTAAAACCCTTTGAGACTCATCAGTACATCTCTACACAAAGAAGCTAATATCCCTGGTGCACTGAGAATTTACGTCATTTCGTTATAAGGAACAAGGTCAGAATCCCACAGATGAGATAAACTAAATTCTGTCTCTGCGAATCTCTTTGGAACGTTTAGTGCTGAGGTCAACCGTAGAGTTCGGGAGGACATGGGACGCAAGCTTTATATCCTGGAGAAAGATACTGGCGGCAGATTAGGGCGACAATAGACAAAAGAGGCTTAAAATAGACAAATCTGGAAAACAGTTTTGACTCCAGATGTTTTCTTTATCTATCATCAATGTGGGAGACGGAGACAGAAGGAAATTCAAATCCCTTCATCTGTGTCATATATTCACACAACAGGATACGAGACCTAATGGGGGTGGAGGGGCTGTGCCACCTACGTCTCCAACTTTATGGTCATGATGGGGGGAAGGAAGACAAAGACCTGCTTGAATGGTCTGGACAACCAACAGGACAGAGACACTTAGCACAGCATTCAGCATTCAGCACAGGAAACCAAATTTCCTTCCCATCGCCGTCATGCTTAAATCTATATATGGAAATAGGCCGTCTCCTCCGATCTTAGGACCCTGACAGGGCTGCCGAGGTAGCGAACGCCTGGTCACCTTTGAGATAAGATAATATATTCATGAAAAATGTAATCACATTAGATTTCTGTTTAATTGCCATGGTAAAGCAACTTTGACCTTTATGTGGTTAAAGAGGTGGAATTTCTTTATGAGCAAAGGAGAAAAACCCACTCCAACAAGGATTGTTTGAGAGACTCAACTCTCCGATATGGTTAAAAATAACTGTGTAATATTTTCCTCCTAATTTCCAAACTAGGCCTTCACATGTTGGGTGTTTCCCTACTTATTTTCTAAGGACCAACTCCTGGGAAACAAGATGCGATTTATCACAATTAAAAATATTCAACATCATACACATTTAGGCCTTTATCTGACCAGTGTTTCCCTACTTATTTTCTGAGGACCAACTCCTGGGAAACAAGATGCGAGACGACCCAAAAAAAAGAAGAAGAAATTCTCTCTTGGGGGTCTCCACCTAGTCTTTGGGAAACAATGACCTAGACTCAATGAGAACCTAGTGTAGTAATATTTATGTACTTTTATTTAATAGTGTTTTATAGTAAAGTATAGTATAGTGTGCAGTGGTCAAATTATTGTATCAGAATACAGGGGCTCGACTGACGTTGGAGTTCCAGTGCTGCATCATCACATCAATAATGTGTTAAATAAACCTGCAAAAATGGAAATTTGTCCTTACACTGACGATGACTCCTGATGACTCCAAAAACTTCAAGAAAGCACCGAGACCAGAAGCCAAACAAATAGCCGGCAACCACAGTTACGATTAAAGGCTAAGATCCATCATCTACATTTTTTTAAATTATTTGATCTGCTTTCTGTTGCTTCTATTCCATGCGATATACAACGTTCCTTCATATAAATATTTTTTAAGTTGACATAAAACTGAGAGGGATGGAAACAGTGTCGTAGTGAATGGAATGCAAAGCAGACGAGCTCTGCGGCAGCTTTTATTGTTCGCCCAGCCTTAATGTATCTCACGGTGCTGTCGCTACTGCCACTGATAAAAAAGGATGAAAGAGGAGAGGGGATGTTTATGTCTCAAAGACAAAACTGTGGCTGGGTGTTATGACCAGACGTGGGAGGAGGGGCGTAGCAGGAAGCGGGGGCATCGTCGGCATAAAGACAGATGCGACGTACAAATGCATACAGACAAACACACGTACGAGGCGGCGTGACTTCACCTGAAGAGCTGGACCAGGTTTCACAAACATAAATGTAGAAAACTGTACAAGTCAAATATATATGCTGATCCCTTACTTGTGCTCTCTGTAGTCTGAGGCCACGGTGTGCTTCCTTCATCTTCACCACTGGGCAGATCTTTGGAGAAGGAAACACAGGTAAATCATTTCACTCGGCATGTCAGGTTCATGTGTAGGGGAGAAGATTCTGCATTTAGTGTTCGTGCAGATGAAATACTAAAATATAAAACATTCCCCTGTTGTCAGTTTTGGGCCTGGTTTATCATCCGTGGAATGTGCAATGAAAAAAAAAAAGATTCCCACAAAATTTAGACAGCTGTTATTGTGTTTGTGCTTCCCACCTCCTGAGGCCTCATCGGCAGCAAAGTCTTCGTCATCATCCAGTAAGGTGTGAGACGCCTTGACGACCTTTGCTGCTTCCAGATCTTCAGGAAGGGGAACCTCTCCCCACACCTTGGACGCCTGAGTCACCTGTAACAAACAGAAAGATTTATAGAGGTTGACGTCTACAGACAAAGGTTACACCCAGGGCTATACATGGAACCTGGAAGGGCGGAGAGAAAACAAAAGCTGAGAAGGGAAACGGGGCATTGTGCACTGTTTACTTTGACTATTTATTATCTCTCGTTTTTCAAGTGCTCTCTTGTAGGTGCAAGACCCAAAAGAAACATTTTGAAATTGTTTGAATTTTTGATGCAGGTGTGTACGGGTATTTCATCTTCATAAATTTTAAGAAAATCTTTTTTGTTTACTCCTAATTGACCATAGGTCCATCATGTTGTTAACCTCGGGGGTCTGCTGTGCTTGATTACTAGCAGCAAAAGTTTAGGGTCAAGCTGTTCTGAGCTGTGAATCATGCCCCGTTACATCAGGTTTATTTACTTAAATTTTAAGTTTTAACAGGCCTTTAAAATCCAGGAAAAATTCACATCAGAATAGGAGAAATACATTGAAATATTCTCGTAATGCCACACAATGGATTTGAAGAAAAAAGATTAATTAAAAAATCCATGGTTTTTGTGAAGTAATTCTGTGTAAACACAGAAACAAAGCCTTCAGTTTTAATCATACATTCTGTATAATTTAAAAATCCTATAAAGTCATTTCTAGACAGAAATAAGTGTTTCTATTCCTTTAGTATCTTACAGACCCACACAACATCTCACAGAGACACAAAGCTCAGCCAGCCACCCTCATATCTGATCATCTTGATAGAATTCATGGTGCCAGCCCCAGTGGAACTCAGTGAGGGGGTTTATTATCTCTGCTTTCACCATCTCCACATCCAACTGCTCCGACTGAGAGCTATAAGTTTATTTACGCCTCTGGCAGCGTGCCACTCCTGGCATTTCCAGTAGGCACTGGCTGCCAGATCCAATTTCCACTGAGCTCTGTCATGGTAGTTTCCCATTTAAATGGCTCATACTAATAAATAACCCAATCTATCCCCTCAAATCCCCTCTCACCCCTCGCTGAACACCCTTAAAACAACAATCCTAAGTCATTTTCAAAAAGGAACTGCTGACTAACTACATTCTTTCCTGTGGTGCCGATCAGCCGTGCGTTTAACTAGTGCTTCCCACTCCGGTTGGTTGAGGAATGAGTGAAGCCTGTTGGACACTGTTTGGGCCAAATGCAACTCTAGACTAGGCTTTTGAGGACATGCTCATGTTTGCCCCTGATCTTGAACCTAACGTGTTAAGCCGTACTCGTTAGAAGATGTCAATCCTTCTTCATCTTAGGGAGACTTGCTTTCTCACTATGCTCCTGCATTCCAGCTTAAAAAGCCAGCGTGACCTTTGCTCTCAGCCTAGAAGTTCAGACATGTCCGGGGTGTTGAAGTTATCTCTCCCTCAAGATAAAGGGCTTGACCGACTTGGCAACTCTTGAAACTCCGCCACACCCGCGAAGACATCACCCTCAGGAAGCACTTTTCATTCACCTTGCTTGTTGCAATATTTCAGAGGTAACATATGGCAGCCAGGTATGTGCTGAAAATCTCAGGCAAGCATATGCACACGTGTGTACGCAACACAGAAACACACACACACACACCCACTTCATTCAAAAGGAACTCTGATATTTAATTAAGAGTTACTCAGCCTACAAAACACTATATTGATTCTTAAAGATGAAAAAAAAAGCTACAAAAGACTGGAAATCACTAAGAAAACGCCTTAAGTTTTCCCCAATTATTTTTGCACACACCAGGGAAACTAAGTGTAGTTTGGACCTCAAAGGACCAAATGACATTTGAGGAAAAAGTGGTTGAACTCCAGTGAGTGAGCTAATATTCAGAATAAGAGGTATTTTTCTCAGCTGCTGTTGGCCTCACGGCTGGAAACCTACTGTCAACCCTATTCCCCATCGAGTGCTGGCTCCTCAGAATTCACATTTCGAATGTTCATGCACAGACTTCCTTGCTCCTTTGTTTTCCAAATGGGATAAGACACTCAAACTTTCCAGATTACTGGAAGACCCCAAGAATGAATGGACAACATTTCCTTCCTCCAAATGACTCAGTGGGATAGAAGTGACCCTTAAAATTTGCCAACGGATTCAGTAACATCATACTGTGGTGGTTAAGACTTTGAACTTTTCCATAGTCTCCTCCTTTATTCACTAATGTCCGTTTGGTGTCTTCAGTTAGTCAGGGACAGATCTTTAGCCATTTCTTTTCTACCTTGATTTGAATGATACGACACCTGAATAAGATGTTTTTTATAAGTAACGGTTATTAACACATTTTTAAGGAATCTGTTTGGTTCAATGGTGTAGCGGTTAGCATGCCTGCCATGCAAGCACAGAGGTTTGATTTCTACAGGAACCAAATATTTGTAATGGCGCCTCAGGTGGCAGCATTTGTTGGCTGCAAAGACTCACACTGTAAATTTCCCCATTGTGGGACAAATAAGGGACTTTTTTTTACACTTCAACATCCCAGAATCAGACATTGTGGATTGATCTACTAAGCAGAATATGCAACGAGAAAAAAACTGACATTATCAGTCACTGTGCAAAACAAAATAATCACACACTAAAAGTATGATGTAAATAAAAGATGTGTATAATGTCAACGCACAGGTGCACTGGCATGTGGTAGCAAACGTAAACATACGCCCACACTGGCGTTTCTATCACTGTAACATCTCAGTGACAGCCGAAGCCTGTCAGACGCAGCGTGAGAAGAAGAGTTCTCCAGCGACATATGTTTCGCTCACTCCTCTAATAAGCCTGTGGATGCAGCTGTGGGACAATCTGTGAGAAACTTAAAAAAAAAAAAAAAAAACAGACCTCAAAAACAGAGCCTTCATGCCACTCTTGGCCCACCCAGAGTCAAAAACTTGGTATATCACAGTGTCATCTGCAAACAGGTTTTTTGAGGTGTAGATAAAACACCAAAACCAGAGCCACCATTCACTGGCTGTTCCACAGCTGTCTATGAGTTTTTGTATCAAACCTCTGACTCACCATTCTTAAGGCATGTGCACTGCATAAACTGAATGACAGATACTACAGGTGCAGACACTTGTGAGTTGTTATCACCAGAGATAGTGTAAAGTTAGTTGAGTCAGAAAATTATGAAAAAGAAATCACCAAAAGCAATCTACCAGTAGATACTAATCAATCTGTTGGTAGTTGTTTGGATTTAATACAATGTTTCAATGTTTGGAATGAACAAAAGGACAGTTAAGGTTAAATATTTGGAAATGAAGTCTGAGAGGCCAAAGGATTGGTTTACACATGGTGAAAAAATAGAGTAAATATTTAGTCAGGGTTTGGTGGGGGATTCCCTGTGGAGATGAGCAGAGTAATATAATATAAATTATACAATCGGATGTGTTCTGATTGCCGTCAATGATTTATTACGGCCAACCTCGAGTTAGCTTTTGGACACAACAACCAACAAACATCCGATTTTTTTTCATGGCTGGAACAAAGAAAAACATCAATTAGGAATCCCAAAAGAATTTGCGTGTCTCTCAGATATGTTATGTAACGCCATCAACCAGCAGTCGTACTACAAGACCAAACAGGATTGCGGTTCTTCTGCAACAGTCCCCAAGGACTTGCTATAAACCAAAGAATATTTTGTAATACGTATTGTTTCTGTCCCTGCAGTAAATTTAAGCCGACACCAACCAAGGGAAACCTGAGACAGGATACGCAGACATAGCAGGGCATTTAGATTGTTGGTGTAGCTATAGAGGAGGCAGGACTGAATGGCCTGTCCATCACTGAAACGCACTCATAAAAATACGTCATAAACTCTGTCAAGGTAATATATGGCAGTTTCCTGGTGGCAGTGGCAAAAGGTTTAGCATATAAACCATCTCCCTCGCTCACACATCTCCACATACATCTCCACCTGAGCATGTGACAGGCAAACAGGAAAATGAAAAGCTGAGAGGCTAAAAGTGTCACTGTGCTCAAACCAATCCACTGATTCTAACAAAAAGTTGCGACCTTTCACGAGAGCAGCGGACGGATGACGACAAGGAGAAAAATTTGAGCAGACAAATTCCCATCCTCCTTGACATCCCGTCTCTCCCACCTCTCACATTTCACTCACCTAGTTTCAGGTGAACAATATCTGCTTAGACTTGAAGTAGCAGCGTATACTGAAACAGGAATGGAATGTACTGTATACTGCAGTAGGCAGTAGGTGGAAGAAAGCTTGACACATACTCATACCAATACCTAGAAAACTTGCAACCTGAAAATGGATAAAAAATTTGTATTTTTAGGGTAGTTCTTTGGGTTTTGGAAGTACTAATTTACTTCATTAATGCTTACCCTGAAAATGGATTAAAAAATAGTAGTTTTAGGGTTAGTTCTTTGGGTTTTGGAAGTACTAAAGGACTAAGCTGTATGTTTATGTAGATCTTTGCACTCCAAGCTCCGCAACAACTATCTCACCTTGAGTACTTTGAAATCTTCTTTTCAATTCAAAAGACTTTTTGTTACATTTACATGAAATACCTTGCAGCCCTAGCAATTTCTAAATAAGTGTCCAAAAATAAAATATGTACATCAACAATATCTTATGTATCTGCACAATGTACAGTTGTCATCTGCCACTGACATTGGGTACCTGGTCACAGAGATGGATCCAGAAATACCACAGTATCTCATTCAAAGACCAACGTGGTGAGGACCTTAGTAATTAGAAAGTTATGATTAAAATGAAGTTAAAATGTTATTAATCAGCACAATTAAAGTTGATGCTTGACATCAAATGTGGCCAAGAAACAACCATCATATCAAGATTATATTTGAGATGTTCTTCAGGTGTAAAATTATTTCAACATAGAAAACTTTGGGAATTTCCAACCTAGTTTAAAATGTGCTGACCACAGTGAGAACGGTGAAACCTTTGTTATATTTTCTCGTTAAAATACTGCAAAAAAAATTCCAAGTACATGAGATTAAATGTTGTGACAACACAGCAGCTTTAAGAATGTTTGTAA